GGGGGAGGAGAGAGGAGGAGAGAGACACAACTTTCCCATACTGCCACCAAATATAAAGTGTGCAGTTCTTTTTTTTCCTTTGGGCTAGGACACATACGTGCAGGAGAGGAGGATGGGGTGATGGCGAAGATGGGCTTGATGTATAAAGTTATAAGCCCAGGGACGTGCTCGGAAATCCAAACAACTTCATTCGGTTCTTTTGTTATGCACACGAAGTGAAGTAGTACTTTCTGCATAGAGTTGTCTCTTTCTGATTTGAAGCTCGTTCGTGCCATCTCGTTTTCAGTCCCTCCAGGTCTGTCCAACCACAGTTGGACCCAGTTATGACATTGCCACACGCAGTTATTAAACGCTTTAACAAACTGAGCCAATTTATTGCACTGAGAGAAAAAGTAAAATTCTTTCCCACAATTTGCCAAACTACAAAATAGAATTGGCAGAAGAAAAACCCAAATACCCCAAACTGTGCCACTGAGGCCTTTGAATGCAATTAGGCACCTCAGTAAAATAAAAAATAAAATAAATAAATAAATAAATAAATAAAATAAATAAATCTTTCTCAGCTATAAGAACTCCATGAAGGGGTACCTTATTTTCTATAAAGGGCATTACTTACAAACAGGCCTACTATAATAGCCTATAAATATCCTGAAGATTACATAAATGCATTTATACGTTCAAGTAAGATATACACTATTGAGAGAATAAATAGAAATAAATAGGCCTACATAACATCAAGTCAATAAACGAAAAACGCACTCTCTTTCTCACGCCCTCACCCCCTCTTGCCTAATTGCGGGCGTTTCCATTAGAGTCGAGCGGATTCACGTTGTGCCTTAACAGCGAGGGCACGTTCGATGACGTAGACAAGCATATCAGCTACGTGCAGCCATATTTAAATACATCAAGGCAATTAGCGCATCAAAATATGCAAATCCCGCTTACTACCGAGTCTGCACGGCAGCGGTCGGACTAATTTACGCTTCAGACATTTCTGCGACTGCTCTCTGCCTTTCACAATCCACCACGTTAGTTTTGTTTTTATATTTTTGAAAGGGACAATAGGACGAAATGCCAGGGAGAAGAGGATCGGCGGGTTCTACATGGAAAAGCGTAATGCGTAATGGTCCGCTTCTTCATAACCTGGTATTATTTATATTATTGATGCATATTCAGAAGTTATATTAGCATAAATCTTTGTTATGTCGTTTTGTCCATCAGGACACTGTTGCAGATGAATGAAAAACGTCGCCTATGTGTGCTATAATTAAGTCTAATTTGCGACACTTTATCCCTCTTTCAACATTTTAACCTCGAATATTTTAAACTTCTGTCCGTTTAAAAGCGTGAACCAATTGATCTAGTCCAGAAGACGATCAGCATGTAAATCGGTATTGAATAGTCATGGGGCGCGTGCATGGACAAAGAGCTCGGTGGCATTGGTTTCAAACAATAGATAGCCTAGTGGTTGAGCAGGTAAGACTCGCACTGTGATGGTCTCGGCTTCAACCTGGGATTTCTTTAAAACTAACGGCCAACTTGACTCTTGTGCACATTTGGGACAGTGACGCAGCACTCACATCCACTGTAGACAGAAAACTCTGCCTCTAATCTGTACGTGTGCGCGCAAAACGGTGCCACTGATGAGCGCGCGCAATAGGAGTCAAAAAAAAGTATTTATATGATGAGAAAGAATAATATTCTGTGGATTGATGTGGTTCCTTTGTAATCACAGTACTTAAATATTCTTTTATAAAGTACTCTGAAAAAAAGTTGCGTCTAAATCTCCACTTACCTGTAAGTAAAATTAGCGCAGATGCTGTCAGTCGGGTTTACAATGCAGTAAACTCGCTATTTCATAATCTCATTTCGATGTTTTCCAGACAGCGAAGTTTAATGTGGCGACAGCCAAAGAAGGAGATGCTGTTCGCTATAGGCTACTCCCCTCGCCATTGAACCTTGCTCTTAAGCGGATCGTGGCTCAACTCCAGTGGTCAGGCTAGTTGACGCGTAAAGACATTCACTGCGAGAGCCACAGGAGTCTGTCACTACTCCACCAATGCTTTAATGCCTCACCCTGAAAACCACAAGTAGGCTACTGTACTCGTGCAATGCCCACGTGGTTTAAAAGGACACAAGGATGAAGAAAAGGCGCAACGACATTTATGAGATCATTTTACATGCATTTACCAAGCGCATGGTATTGTTGAAATAGTCTCAAATCACATTCAGTCTTTCTACACGTTGTTTTAATATGATAGCTGCGAGAGTCAAAGTAATAGTTTTGAGGACATTTGAGGGCATTTCGTGTTTTAAGCTGCCATTTCTTTAAACATTATAATTTATACATTTTTATAATAATAACAATAAACAATAATAATAATAATAATAATAATAATAATAATAATAATAATTATTATTATTATTATTAGTAGTAGTAGTAGTAGTTAGGGCTTGTTTAAATACTGAACCTGCAAAACTCTCTGCTGGGTGACTATATGTTGCCATCTTGTGGTCAAAATGTAGAATGCAAAAAAGTCAGGACCGATGTTTCAAAACCGCTTCGACTTCATTCTCTTTATGTTATCCGTGGATTCTAAAAAAAAATAAAACAAATACACAAATAAATGAATTGTTAAACGTCGTTAGTTTACAGTTATTACTACTACTAGTATTGTACAGTTATTTGTATTGTTTCTTCATTGGCTTTTATCTAAACATGACACAACTGCATCGCCCTATAATCCATTTCTTTCCATACCTGAATTGAGATTTACATTTTTTATCCACTTCTGAATGCACATGATACTTATTATATTTGTCTGTTTTTTTCCTCATAAGGACAATTCTATATATTCTTCATTATTTTGCAGATATTACTTCTATTCGTCAGTCTTTGTGTTTGAATGTTTTTAACTTTAGCGGGTGCTGGGTTGAACGTAGCCAACTCAAATGTTGTCTGTAATATTCTGCAAATACCCCTCTTAAGGTCTCCTAATGGATGGAATCACATGAGCGTGGGGCCCGATTAAAATTTGACGTAGATGCAACTACAATCCTTGGCGAATGGCAACGAAGCACAGCCTAATTAAGAGTGAAGTCTAGTCTCGGCCTACAACGAAATAAAGTAAATAGGCTACATAGGTATTATTGATGCATTTATTACCTACATTGTACGAACATTCTACATTCTGAATAAAAAAAATTATAAAAAATCACTGTTAAATTAATTCTCAACTTCGGTCCAGCTTCAGAGACGTAGCCTATTATTACGCAAGTTGAACTTCATCGTTACGCACGTTTGAAATAATCGTTTTGCAATGAGTCGTACGCGTACAGGATGGTCCCAGATATGCAGCGATGTTTTCTTGGCTATTTTAATTTATCATAAGCGTCTTTTTATATTAAAACATCAATCTAAATAGTAATAATGATAACTACAGATTTCTGAATTAAACACATTTCACTATCCAAAGCACAGCGTAGGATTTGTTTGAATTTAATACCCCATTATGCCAAATATAAGTAAGTAAAGTAAAACATAAATAAATAAATACATAAATAATACAAAAAAACTCTCCATATATACATAAAAAAATCACTCATGATTATACCACACGATAACAGTTATGTTGGGGTGTAGGCTAAGGCAGATGACAAAAAAAGAAAATAAACTGTTACTTGTGGCAGAAATACGTATTAAATGCATAGCCTACTTTACAGATACGACAAAGGCATAACATTGGCTATGACCTTCCAAAAATAATAAAATTTGCCTTACCCAATAATGTGAAGGATTCTTTATTTGTAGTTTGTAGGCTACGTATACTAGGCACAAGGAAAGAAATGGGCCCAGTCTTAATTTGGTGTAGCTGTCGTGTCAGTAGGCCTACTCTTATTAATCATATCAATTCTACATAGATGGGTGAAACATAACGACACTTGCAGGCCATTCCTTATCTAGGCTAAAGGCGACGCCTTACAGAGAAAACGTACAAATCACGCATCTCTTAATTGTTGGTGTAAAGACTGTGTGCACGTCGGAAGCTAGTGGGCCTGTAGGCGCAGCACGTCCTTGACTTTTTATCTTTTTAAAATATTTTCATTCTTTTCTTTCTTTTTCTTTCTTCTTCTTCTTCTTTTTTTTTAGACAAACAGATGTACAGCAAAGCATTTGTGCGAGCTAAAATGACGCCGTACGACCTTGCGCACATCATCTACCATAATCAGCAACAGGTAAATTGAGCAATTTGTAGGACTACTTTTCAATTAAGTTTATCAGAAGACTGCGAAGCCAGTTGTTGTGAATGTGTTTTCCTTTCTTACTTTTCCTTTATTGTTATATACATAACTTGTCATTAAGAATGGTTTTAAGAGTCATTGTTGTTATGTTCTTTTATTGTCAGATATTTGATTTCCTGATGCGGGGTTTTCATGCAGAAACACAACTCAAAATAAAGTCACACCAAGTCATGTGGGCAAAACTATGGAAATCAGTACCTAAAATGTTAGGCCTACACCCCAGCTAACCTTCAAACAACTGAAAACCATTTTAGTCTCAAGAAGCAACAGAGGCCTGCTTATGGAGCAGCTCTTGCCTTAAACAAAACATTAAACACGAGGGTGCATGTGAGCTAATGCAAACCTCCTACTACAGCCTGACAATTGGAAGCTATTTTCTTTAATATATTACTTTTTAAATGACAAAGTCCAGCAGAGCAACAGACATTTCCCTTGTCAAAGTTGGATCTGGACAATGGCCTGGTTTTACACATGGCTGTACAGGTGCCTGTCTCTCCTCTACACTTCAGGGGACTTTTTTGAAGTACTGCTAGCGGTGAGTATTGTCAATGTTAATATAATAAAACATATGATTGCTCCATGTCTTGAGTTACTGTGAAAACTGCAATGTTGGCAATCCGTTTGTAAATGTTATGTACTGAATATTATTGCTGTATCAAAGAAGAAAATTAAATCTGTAATTGAATTATCAAGCAAACTGTATTTGAACAAATTCTTTTATTGTCTTGTTTGTCAATATTTGCAAAACCATAAATGAATAATAAAATAAAAGTTGGGTTTACAACACAGAATGCCACTGGCTTTGGTTTCTCCAAACTTGATGCTGCCTGAAATACTCTCTCAACCTTCATGTACTCATTTACAAAAGAGAGAGAAGAACACTGTTTAAGAGGCACTGCCCCTGTAGACTACACAGACGGTATACAGTAACATCAAAGTGAACCTGCATCAAATATGCACATAGAAATATAATACTAGTGACAGCAGATAAGGGAGTGGGAGGCAGAGAGATATGTGGGACTTTCATTGTTAAAAAGACAAAACTGGTATTAAGTTTTGTTTATACCGCAACAACGGAGCTTAATGTCTGATGGTGAGCCATCAGTCTGTTCTGAGATATGGGAGAATACATGGGATTGTACATAACTTGAGGAAATTAGCATTGTATATTTGTAATAAATATTGTCCAGACTGTGTGGTGACAACTGTAACATTTTGTAGCAATGATTAGAAAAATGATAATATCCAAAAGGAAATAACTCAAATGGCATACTTAAGGTCAACAATGACATATTACATAGAATTGTCCATAGTTAAGAAGCAGTCATATGTCCTCATGAGTATAATGAAACCCCATGTATTTCTGTGTCCTCCCTCGTCCCAGTCCGGTGACATTTTGCACTAACAGCATTCAGTGTGTCTTTCCGACAGACTGGCACTGCATTCAGCTGGCTGTTTGGACTACGCCCCGAACGGCTCAGGGCTCAATAAAAACAAATGAGACAACATGTGCAACTGCACATAAAAACTCCACTAAGAAACCAACAAAAATGTTATTATATATATTTATATATTAGAAAGCTATACACAAGCATGTTAATTTCACAGATTTTTTAAAAGAATCTTAATATTACCGTTATTATATTTAATTAGAAATACACGTTTAAAAACAAACCTCTACAAAGATAAAACAGTTCAGCAAAGCATTGGATATCAGTCTGTTTGTCATGGCTTAGGGCTCCTGTGCCCTGACATTTCCCTCCTGGGTCATCTCTCAATCCCTTATTAGCAAAGCTATCAAAAAACACATTCTGGCTTATAGAAACTACAAAAAGCCACAAAATGCTTTGCATTGTATTCCTTTCATATGAAAATATAAGCAAGTATCGTACAATTATTTTTTTTCTTCATTTTTTTGATTTAATAATACTGAATAGTTATTACTAGATCCAGAATTGAGTTTTCTTTTGGACAACTAATATAGCGCTCAAATGAGTGGTCCTGGCCCGGCTCTGGTCTTAAGAAGAGCGGTGAGAGCCAGACTCCACCTGGTAGCGTTGGGTCTGCCGGTTTACCTGTACAATCCTTCAAATGTTGCATATTGACTTTTCATCACAGGAGTGAATAAACCTTGTAATGTCTGGCAACGTCTGACCCCTGCCCCATCCCTTCTGACCCTTTATTTACATAAATACGTTGAACCTGCAACATGACATCATCTAAAGTTAACACACATTTTTGCAAGGGACCGCAGAGAAGGTATAGCAATGAAAACTGACACTGTACATGTTTTATCAACTCAAGTGCTAAGGTGCCGCTGGACACACTCACTCTCAAGTTATGATCTTTTTGTCTTTTATTTTTTACTCATTTTGAGGCAAATGTAAGCATGTTTTATGAAACAGTACCTGGCATTTTTTTGTTTATTTGTCAATATGCATATATGTACACAGACAGGTGTGGAGATATATGCATATGTGAATTATTTAATCACACACAATACAATGTATGCATAGATCCCCAACAAAAGAACCCCACATCCTGACCAAACAACCCACCCCACCCAAAAACAACATCCAGCGTTATATAAAGTCAATATGTATAGCACACACACTCTGCAAGGAAAATAACATTTAAAACAAAATCATAGAAATGATGGGTTCCCTTTTCTTCCTTAAAGAGATAAAGGGTTTGAGGGACTGTGAGGAGGAGCAGGGGGCGTAGTAATGCCAGGTGTTGGAGCTCAGGACCACCCGGGCACTGCAGAGGGCCGGGTTATCATGTGGCCCAGCCCTCGGAGAGGCGCACCCGTTTGATGGACGGGCTCTCACGCTCGTCCAGGGGCCTGCCCAGTCCCAGAGGTGAATGGAACTCATTCCTGTGCTCATCGCGGTCGCTACCTTCATGGGAGCTGCTACAACTGCTCAGGCTATCAACAGGGGAGCGCCCCGAGTCCTGGCGGGACGATGGGTTCTGGGGAGGTGGTACACCGCCACCGTAACCCCCCGGGGTGTTGCTGGTGCGATCTCTAGGAGGAGAAACAGGTTCGGACTTGATGTGCAGGCTTTGAGCAGAGGGCAGGGACAGATTTGAACCCTGACATAAGTGAGAGCTAGAGCAGTTTCTGTAGAAGGAAAGGAAAAGCAGAGGGGTTACAGAACAACAGAGAAAAGAAGTGAAAGTCAATCATGCTTCCACATAGAAACAAGTACATTCTCAATGTGTCAACAACAGATTAAAGAAGTATCATTGGTGGGCTGTGTGCAACTGAAAGGGCTGTGTGTCAAATATATAATGACGAAGTGTCCTCATGCATACAAACAGAGAGACTAGTTGTTCTCACCCCAGCTGATTTAGAGCAGAGTGCTGCATGTTCTGAAGATGCTGCTGTTGCCATCCGCTCATGGATCCCAGATGGAGGGAGCTGCCACTATTGAAGCCAGACAACGAGGACAAGTCGGCACTATTCAGAGAATACTCTGTGGAAAACACAAACATGGTTTAATTCAACTGAAGTGTGTTTGTAGTGAGTCCACAGCCTTTAAAATCGGTGTGCCCAACAGTAAGACAATAGCACCCTCTGGTGTTTAAACGTAGTATGACAGCCACACTTGCAAAGAAATTCATCAGTGGTGTTAGCCATGCAGAATATTTACTTACATATTTTATTAATGAAAACTGTTCAAATTAACTTGTTAATAACATGATTGCAAAATGCATCCAATAAATAAAGAGATTTATGCATTAAAATTTGTCATTAAATTTGAGATTAAAAAGATACTACAGAATTAGCTAGCCTGAGCTCCTTCTTTGGCAACGCTGTAGAAAATAATGTAATGGGAGGAACTTGGGGCAACACATTTGTAAAAACTACAAATATAAGCTTAGGCTACATGTAAAAAAAAGTTATTCTCTCTGATATTTCTATTAAAATGTAAAATTGTTTATGAAGAATGCATTAAAAATAACAGGCCTCAAAATCTAGGATTTGTTTTGTCTTAACTTAACTTTAACTTTTAACTTAAGTGCTACAGTATTTTAATAGATATTCATTGTGATACTAAGGAATAAAGGCAGTGTTGCTTACCAGTACCATAAGAAGTGGAGATGGCTGATGGGTAACCCCCCATACCTTGGCCTGGTAAAGTGGGGGTAGCTACTGATACAACAGGAGTGGCCAATGACTGGGCAGACTGAGAGTTGTTTATTCTCTGATTCTGTCGTAGAGAAAAGCAAGATGGCAAGAATAATACAAAGAACTATGTTAGTGATTTGAGCACATGATATTCTTTTTAACAAAACAAACAAAAACTGCAATAAACACAGGGAAGTTGAATTGTTTTCCCTTTCTTTCTTTCACAACAGATGCTGAGAGAATAAATGTGAATGCCAACTTCTTGGGAAATTAATCACTTGACATGCGGCACGACTGAACCCTGCCAACCCTATCATTTACCACTCGTTCTGAGGACCCACTGTCGCTATAGAAACACCAACAGTCTCCATGGCGATGAGCGACTCCTCAGTGTGACACAGCGAAGGGTCTGCTGAATAAATACTGCAGGATCGCACCAAATAAACTTTCAAAGCAGGTTACCAGTCTGAAGAAGATGCTCTTAAAATTTGTGAGCTAACATTCTCTAGAAAGGAGAGTCAGAGACAGAAAGGAGGCCAGCCTGTTTTTACCCAACCTAACCACTGGATGGCAGTGTGTGTCCTTTGTACAGGTTTTAAGAGGTGACATTGGGTTGTTTTGAGCAAAGTCAGCAACAATAAAGGTGAAAGTTATTCTGGAGAAGGGCTGACTTTCTCAAAAGCACCACATCTAGTTGATACCAATGTTGATTTATCTGACCACAAATCTCTACATCTGTTTTTCCACTAAATAAAGTTGTTGTTTCACACAGTATTCTACACAGGGGTAAATTTTTTTAGCTACGTTTCTAAATTCTAGCTACAATATACATAACTCACCAATAGCAGATCAACATCCTCAGACTGGTTGCATTGAATGGTGAGTCAAATTTAAATTAATTAATTTTGGAAACTAGAATTTTCCATAAAGTGCTAAAAGACAAGGACTAATAGTAGTAAGGAAAGTTAAAGAATCAAAAGGTAAACTAGAGTATATATATGCAATTACAATTAAGACTTACATACATAAGCCACTATTGCATTATTTTGTATTAGAGCCAAATTCTAGCTGAAGCATGTAATGTAAGAACAATCCATAGGTAACTTACAATAGAGGGCATGTTGTTCTTGGCGCCAGGAGGTATCAGTACACGGAGGTCAGGTTTGCGGTTATTCATGCCGAGATTCATGGGCGGAGGAGACTTGGCTTGCATACTCTTGCTCATACCACCAGGTGAGACCAGCAGACCGGGTGAGTTGCGATGGTTACCGTATCCATTTCCTACAAAAAGTAATAAGTTCATATGTATGAGAAAAAGCACCGCTGTGTCATTAAACTTTTTATAAAACTCTAATGAATCTCGGGAATCTGTCTGTCCATGGTGGTACAAGCTAATTAGGAACTACAGGAATCCATTTTCACCTCACACCTTCTTTGTCTTGGCTTCATTACTAGTTTTTTCTGGTAAAAGCCAACCACTCTGGCTATACTATACATTGTGCATACAGAAGATGGACATTCAAAGATTTTAGGAATATAAATAACTGTTAAAATGCAGTAAAAATAAATTCTAGGATTTATTTGTCTTGACTTTATCAGATTTTTCAATAATATGGTATTTTAATAGATATTCACTAAGTTATAGCACCTCAAAGTACACACTTTCTCTGTCTTTGGCTTCATTGCTATTTTTTTCTGGTAAAAGCCCACCACTCTTACTATACTATACATTGCACGTACATCAGCATTTAAAGGTTTAAGGAATAAAAATAACAGCTCAAATAAAACAACTAAAGTTACAGTGAAAATGCTGATTTGTCTGGACGGGTAAGTGTCAAAAGGTACAACAAAAACAATGCGCATGAATTCTTTTGTTTCTTCTTATGTCGCTTCTCTTTTAATGTTACACAGATGACCCCATTGCCCCCAGTGAAACTAAATTGACTTAAAGCTTGCACTTCACACTCGACATGCAGAACTCAATCACCTTTGTAACTGTCACTAAAGGCAACACACGCCCTGCGACAGCCTGTATCGTACACAAACATCTCATTATGGGCAGGACGACCACAGCGGCACGGGACCTATCATTTGGCCATCAGAACTAAACACTTGTGGTTCCCCCAGACAAAAAGACCCCTGTTTTGCGGGTGCTTCTAAATCTAAATTTACTTGAGTATGGGGTGGGGGCAAGTGCAACATCCATCTTGCCATTAAAAATATAAGATCCTCAATGGAGTCAAGAGATCTTACAAGCTCCGTCTCGCAAAGCCTGGGATACTGGGCACTGTGTGGACGTTCCCACTTGAAAGACTAGGAATTATACGTTAGACATGAATTTCCTAATCATATACTCCGAGGGGAAAATGAGTCACAGATGTCTTCCTGGGCAATTTCCCTCGCCGATCTTTGTTTAATTTGAGAGTGAGGTTTTTTGTTGTTTGGAAATGAAAAGTCTCAAAAGCTCAATTTGAACAATCTGACGAGTAAATGGCCGCGAGCTACAGTGAAATGAGGCAGCTTAGCAAAAAAAACACAAAAAAAGAAAATGTCGCTGTTGGGTGTTTATGCCTGTACTGCCGTCAACATATAGAAATGACACATATTTGGGCATGTCGTATCATTACCAAGCTATATACTGTAGATGCACGTGTGGTTTTTGAATCGGACCCTCGCAATATCTCCGCAAAGAGCCAGCTGCCTCTTCAGTTTCCCGCTCTTACATTCTCCTCATTGGCCCTTTGTGCGATGGAGTGGGTGCATGTGGAGATGGTTGAATGAAGACACGCACAAACACGCATCCATCCTTACACAGACTTTGGTAAATAACCCAGCAGGAAGTACATTAGTGTTTTCTGTACAGATGAAAAAAATGAGACGGAGCTAACGAGAGGCATTAATAAGCGCTTTGGTCAAGAAGACATGGACTCCATCTTGGTGACAGTTAATCAGACAGCTGTGTGTATGGCTACCCTGTGGAGATGGCTACGTCCAGTCAATTATGCGCGAGATGAGGCTGATTGTGAGTGGCGAGGGACGGCACTTGAGCACCTTAATGGTAAAATGACGAGTGAATAAAGTTAGGTAAGCAGGACAAGTGACCTAAAATCTGACATGGCTTGAGTTGGAAATTGGAAATATTGCATTCAATGGGGAAAGAAGGAGAGAAAGAGAGAAAGGAGAGAGTAAATTTGTGTCTGTTTTCCAGTTTTGTAGAGAATTGCTGAATGTCTTCTAAGTAAGATTTTTGTACAAAAGCTACACTTAAATTCTGGTAAGGGGGTAGGTGGTACTCATAAGTGTCAGAATGATGAAAAATAGGACTGTTACCATAGCAATTAACAATTCAACATACAAAAAAAAAATATCTTTTGACTTGGAAAATGTCCTCAAGAGTAGCATAGAAAGTTGAGTCCAATTAATATAAGGGGATGAGGTTAGACAAATTGTTGATATTAAATTCCAAAATTAGGTCTACTATCTGTTTTGAGAGTCATCTGTAGGATTGAGATATCATTTCTGTATCTGGTTTGTGTGATTGCAGAGGTACACGCTCAGATACAGGAATAAAAAGTGTCTCCAAAGGCCCCACGGTTACACTGAAGAAGCCCGGACACATGTGAAGCCCCCACACACATTTGCACAGATAAGGGTGTGGTTAAACTTGTGTACATTTTTACTGTTACTGAACAAATTTCTGATGTCCTGTTGTGGTCTAACAGGCGCACTCCATTCTATTCCCCATTCACACACTCTTCCGTTGCGGTTTGGCCAAACGTGCACTCAGCCCTGAGTTCTCCAACTGAAAAGTCACTCTGATGCTATGTCTAACAATCTGATGTGTGATGCTATATACAGGGGAACGAACGTGTATTGTTGTAATGAGATGGTGTTTCTTGCGAGATGTCAAATCAAAAGTCGAGGGCAACCAAAGTTTGCATTCCCGCAGTTCTATCTCATTAGATCTTACACTGGGTCAGTTATAGATAGTGCAGTCAGTGGGATGGCAGTTGTAAAACAGTTTGGCTTAAACCTACAGTTTGAATTGCTTTGTGGTATCGCCCCATACTGAGCCACTCCAAGCAGCATCATTTAAACGTCTGCCTGAGCTGAGAGAACACTTCCATCTGTGTTTCCCACTGTTTGGGAGGAGCACACACACTCCCCTCATCGGTGCATGATCTTCACAGTGTCCCCTCCACCCAGCTCCTGTCCTGCCTCTAGATGAGCGTAAAGACTTTAAATGGAATCTTTAAGCTCCCGCATGACTCTCGATGTGGTATTTTTCACTGCTGCTGCTGAGCCATGCACAGACCGCCTCTGTTCTTCTCTGCGGTGACACAAAGGCTACATTTGATGCCTGTCTACAGCTCGCAATCGACTTAACACACGCCACAACAACTGGCTCTGTTGTGTGTGCGTGTGTGTTTGTGAGTATGATGAGTGACCAGACAGAGAAACCAGCCACTGACCTCTTCTGTGAAACCCTAGAGGCCAGACTGGGCTGCCCAGCTGTGCCCCACTGCACCCTCCCCAATCTGCTCTATTCACTCTGCACTGTACGCTGAGCCTGTAAAATGTAAGCTTTCTAAAGGAAAGTTTCTTTGCCATAAACTTGTTTGACATGTCCCCAGGGACAGACCATTGACACACAGAAGCCAACGCATCATGATTTCACGCATATGTTGGGTTACTACAGTCTCCACATAATTATTATCGCATGGTAGGCCACCAATAACATTGAGTTCATTTAGTTGGATACATACATGAGTAGTTACAATTCTGGAACCAAAAATAGCTAGGACGCTGTTCCAAATTTAAGCAATGGGTCCTTTATGGAAAAAAAAGGGGACATCTTGTCCTGTTTTGACAGCTTGTCATTCAGTTTGTCCTTGTGTTTACTAAGATTGTGAGTTAGATATATCTTTTTAGTTTGAAGAAAGAAAGACTGTCTTGACTCTGCAGCACTACAGCTAACATTTTCCAAGACCACTAACATCAACACATAATGGATAAATAGTGTAAGATTGGGTTTGACTAACAGTTTGTCATGCATTTTATGGCCCCACAACGATGAGTGGGTGTCATGTGTGAGGAGGGCGATGAGGAGTTCTTACCAGCACTGGTCCCTGCACCGGTGCTGAGGTCAGCACCCATGAGGCCCCCTGAAAGATAAAAGAGAAAAGTATTACAACCCACACATCTACCTCATCTCAGCCATATCGTGCACCTAGCTGTAGTCTAACCAACACAATGCAAGGAGACTTTAGTAAGAAACAAAGCTCTGCTTTTATTGTAATGTATAATGACCATTATTGTATGTTTTTTTTTTTAGCTTAGCTCAGCTGTCACAGTGACATTTTAGGCAACCAGGCCCTATACCTTAAAGTTAAATGGCACGTTATTATTTCAAAATAGGCAAGGTGGAGGAATGGGAGCGTCACCCACATTTGCGGTTTTTTACAAATGCTGCCAATGCCAAAACTATTATTTAGAATGTGCTAGTGCTAACATCCAGAAGTAATGACAGGGTGACCATGGTGTGGGCAGTGGACTCCAATCCAAAAGTCTGAACCAGACTTGGCGACAATAACAAACCAGCCAGACCAATTTGGACCACTTTGCTTTGTCACCAAAAACGTCTTGTACTTGTGAATGGTGTTAAGTAAAAGTGTGAAAAAAGAATATAAGTTTTGTAAAAAAATTTAAAGTTGTCAGTAATTTCAAGATAATTAATTGTGGAGAGAATGGAAATCACAGTTTTGCTTTAATTGTGTTTTGAGGAATTTCGTATTTTTGTATACAGCGAACAGGTACATACACACATTACATGTAGTTTTGTTACCTGCACTGGGAGGTCTATGGGTGACTCCGGGGGACATGCTGTTTCTCTGGAGTCCGTGGTGTGCGAGGGGCAGCAGGTTGTGGTTTCCTAGGGAACCTCCAGGATGGCTGTAGATGAGATTGTTCTGGTTGCTTACAGGAATGGACACGGGCATGTCATAGTTGGATGGGGGCACAGCCTGCTGGGACAAAGGGAGAGAGCAGACAAGGATCAGATGGTGAGTTTGAGTAAATACACAACTGATGGGTATATTATTAGTGTAAGATGACAACTTAACAAGTATAATGTTTATATTTGCAAAGAAGAATATGTGAAACTTTATAAAACTTTTAACTATTGAATTTCATTTTGAAAAATGCTGCATTGTGGTCACATTTCCAGAGATATTTTTTCAGTTCACTCAATAAAACTTCTGGGAATAATGTCAAAGTCATCCCACTGTTTTAAATAAGTGGATTCAATAAGTCATCTTGTCCTCACCTCACTCAAACCACCAAGTCCTTCAAGATGGCTCAAATGAGGGACAATTTACCTATACCGCCTCATAGAACAAAACAAATAGTATTTTTAATTGCTCAATTTCACCTGATTGACTTGTCAGTAATGTGAGTAGATTTACACGCTTCCCTTAGGCGCCTAGTTTGTCATGTTTATTGTGTCACTTGGCAAAAAGGGTTTAACCTTGGGAGTGCCCTGGAAGTGGTTGCTCCTGCCTGTTAGCTTAAGGAAGTAGAAATATACCCTCAAATTACTACCATGTGTCTTAAAGCAATAAGGAGCTCATCAGAACCAACATCAGCCAGGCTCCATGAGTTACAACCGAAGAACCGCCTTCAATTTTCTAACCTCTGCTAATATTCTAGAGAACCAAAATATTTTTACAACATACAGTGGAAAAGATGGTTTCTATATTAGCAGCAGACCTCAGAATAAGCAATCTTTGCCATTTCTTTTTATTGCAGCGTGCAGTAGACATTTGCTTTATGCGCTTAGTCAGGCCCCTTCACTAAACTGTCCTTTAACTAGACTCATCCTTCCTGTTTTTGACTCATCTACCCAGCGGTCTCTCCAACAGTCCCCTGCTATCCGGAGGCAGGGCTCTTGGCAGCCACCCTGACCACACTGAACTGCCACTTGCTGTGTGCATGCTAGAGCACTTTACATTACATTGGCATCACTAAATTAAAGCAGCTCCCAACTATCCATTTGGTGCAAACTACTATTTGTTAGAGTTTTATCTGTTGAGAAGTACTGCAGAACAATTAGTCTGAGTTAGAAATGACAGAATTATCTACATGTAAGTATACATTAAAAGATATGTATAACAATATAATATATTCAGTTCAGTAAAATTGTTTGTCTATGCTATTTCAGAAGACATTGCTATGTGCACAATTAAAAAAAGGCCTGCACCTTTTGAGGAAGTTTCTTTTCGAATTTTTTTTTTTTTTTTGCTTTTTGTTGTTGCCCTTGCCAATACACTAAAAAAGAAAGCAGGACAAACTACATCACTCCGGAAATCCATGCAGATCACAAGCTAATACTACTTGCACTTATGTTAAAACAAACTTGTTTCCCACACTGAAGGTATTTATGTTATTAGCCATTGCCTTGTTGCACAATTAGGCTTAACTGGGTTAGAGCTTGTCAGTACAGTATTTAGCTCACAGAGGATGCAGCCAGTTCACCCAGTACTTACAGGTATCTTATGGCTTTTAATCATGTGATCAAACTCCTCGTTAATCTGTTTGTATTTCTCCTCAGTGCGTGGAGTGAGCATGAGCGCGGGCTCGAGCTCCGGGCTCTCACCACCTTTGTTCTCCTTCTTGTTCAAAGCCTGCCAGGTCCCACACAACAACCACAGACAGGATGGAGGGATGGACACCAGACACAGACGAGAAGACAGAAAAGAAAAAGGGGAGAGAAAGGTGAAGAAGGCTGGGTTTTATGAAATGTACTTACACACAGTCTCTGTCTGCTGATCATCAGATCTATGTCGTCGTTTATTTTCCTGTACTTGTCCTCAGACTCTGGGCTGTGGCCGACTGAGTCGTCTGCGTCGGGGTCTGGGCTGTCACAGCCATTTAGGCCCTTCTTTCTCAATGTCTGTAAACAAAGTATTTGCACAACACAAATTGAAGGGATTTGGGATGAAGAACTGTGACCCAAACCAACTGTGTGAGGCAGATGGTAACAGAGAGGTACTTTATCACATAGAGCCTCAAGATATTTAAAGCAGTATGTTATTATAAGATATTAAACATAATTTGTACTTACAGAGTCTACATTTCTATTACAATTAAAAGATTGGCAGAAATTGTGAGCCCATTAAAGCTTTAAAGTGAAAAGTCTCAAACATTGTTATTAGACATGGATAACTCATAAAATGCCCCGTACCCTGAACCAAAGTTATATGTTTAACTAAAAAATAAACATGAGTGGATGTGATAGAGATCCTGACAGTGGAGTTATTTTGTGTATGGCAGTTTCTGTTTTGGCCACCTGATGGCCACCTGCCCCCATTAGAGTGTCCAGAACACAGCAGGCCAGCAGAGACTCAACGCTTACGCACCACTGAGTCAAACTGAACAACCTCTTACATTATTGTGACTAGACGAACACTATGGTAAATTTTTGTGTAATCTTTTGAATAATCTCATGATTATCTGGCATGTTCCTATGAATCCATGCTGCCTTCATTTACTTCATCAGACAAAGGAGAGAAAATAAGTACAGTATATGACACTTCTCATCAAAGGCCCCCCTCCTCTCCTCCCCCACCCCCTCACACCCCCCTCACTTCTCCTCCTGGCTTTAATAAAGGGAGATTAGTCTAGAGGAGGAATATCACGGGCCCGCTGCAGTCTGCCGTACAGCTTCTTCAGTGCGCGCGCCCGCTTTCATCTGGAGCTCCATATCAGACAAACGTAATTAAATTTACTTTAGCACAACCTGTATTTGATGCCGATCAAGTGTGTGAAGTGTGTGTGTGTGTGTGTGTGAAAGAGTGGGTGTGGGCGAGTGGGTGTCTGAAGAAAGGGAAGTCAGTAGTGAACGAGCAATAGAAGGGAGATGAGAATGATAGATGCTACGATAAGTTAATCTTGGTTGAACTTCGGCGTCTCATTTGTTGTTGTCTCTGTCAGCGCTCACTCACAGGAAACGCTAGCTACTCCATCACACGCGCTAGTGACAGGGAAGAGTTCTGCTTGCTTAGAAAACAAATAACAAGCCAGTCATCTCTCATGTCAAGACAACAAAGAGCACGTTTGGAGTGTGGTAGTGAACTTAGAGGGCTCCTTTTGTGCAAGCGATAACTGTTTGATTCTCCTAAGCGCGTCGACATTCACGTTTGGCTCTCCCCTCCGAATCCTCACTTGGCCCCCACACTGGAAATCTGGAATTCGAGAATGTGTTTGAAAGTGCTCACATCTTTTGACAGTCTTCGGGAAATCACACCAAATAATGGAGGAGATCTGACATCCCGGAGTGAACGGGCAACTCTCTTGTACTTCTATCTAAGGTGTATGAGTCAGATAAAGCAAAGGTTTAAGCAAGCTGTCTTTTTTAGCAAAGGCGTGAGATGTAAAACTTTTTTTCCTTTGTGTTGTGCCTGGCGATGTATCATATCGAGCTGACAAGAAGTGAACCAGTGGCCCTTCTGTTCACATGAGGATGCATACACGAAACAACAACTCCTTTGGACTTGTATAGATTTCATCCATCCACCTACCACCAATAAGATCTACTTCTATTGTGATAACAGCCATACAGGGGAGCTGGACGTTTTTCTCATACAGTACAATGAAATATTGTAGTAAGACTGTGCGAATAATTGAATTTTAATCAAATAGTCAATGATCAGCTTGGGGCTATAGAGGTCCATTGCTAATCCTCTGTCAGTAAAAGCACGAGGCTTAGAGAAAAGTTCAGATAATTTCTCAGTTAAATAGCACTGATTCAATGTCTGTCTTGTTTATGTCCATAAAATTAAGACTGAGGGCCATGTTTATTAATGTGAAAAAATACAATAAAATGAATATGAAATGAATAAAATGAGTAAAACTAAATTTTTTTAGGAATGAAAATTATCCTTATAGTCCATAACATAAACAAGTGCTCAAGTGATTTTCTTATTCTCATTTTAAACGCTGTGGCACTGTCAGCCATTACAGATTTGGGGTTCCATTTCACTGTAAAAAAAAAAAAAAGCCTGCTTTCTCACTAAAAGGGAACTTATACCTAAAAAAAAGTCACAAATAACAAGAAACAGACAACTATAAGTGCCCTCAAACACATTGGTGGCTTGGTAGAAGTTGTGCTGGGCTGTTGCTAGTGTTATATGACTTTGAAAGCATTTGGCCCTCGGCTCAGCTTTCCACATGCAGGGTGCGGTGCAAGGGCATAATGCCACTCATCCCGGCTATGCCCACCTGTTTAAACACATCGCACCTGTTGCCAAGGCCCGACGTACCACCAACTGACCAATCACACGCACTGGGCACTCTAGATTTCCATACAAGGCCTCTTCCCTGGTGCACCCTGCTTCTATCTCCCACCCATATACGCCAAAGCTTTATCTCTAGACTTGTTTTGTAACTTCCAGGCTTCTGTAAATTATTCTGTGACCTACCCACTATACGAGAGACATCAAAAGACATTAAATTCAAATTCAATATACTGGAATAAGAGCTATACTTCAATATTGAAAGAAAACACTAGTATGGATGTGAGGCGCTGGCATGGAAATGTGGTCTTTGGGGAATATGCTAATAGGATACGGATTAAAAACACTGGTGTAGATGACGGATGCCAAGAATTTAGTGCACAAATATGCCCCGAATGATTCTTTTGTCCAAATAAATTCATTTTCTTAGACACCGAAATGTGTGCAACCAACTTTTAATGATCAAGGTGTCTGCGCGTTACAGTACAGATTTAAATCAAATATATATAAATACATTAAGATGTTTACAACTTGGTTCATATAATGTTGGTAAAGGAGAAATTATTTTTTCTTATATCATATAATGTTATAATTTGTTTTCAAAATGTCTGCAGAATATATAATATTTAAGTAATCAACTAAGAGTAACCCTGAAATACATTTTACTCATTCCACATTTCAAATCCACACCTATAGATTCTCATTTATATTTAAGAAAAATATGGCCAGTGTGCACAGTACTGTATATGTATAAGTCCAGAGAGAGGAAATACTGTAGTCCAGCGTAGTAAAAGTATATTATTCAGCATGTGGACAGTTAGTGGGGTGCTGCATGGTAAAACAGAGTGAGACGAGAGTGAAAGAGCTGTGTGCAGTGCTGTGCAGCTTTGGCTCGGTGTCTTTCTCTCTGGTCCCTTCGGAGGCGTGCTCCTAATTAAACTCCTTCTTCATGACGCTCCCTCATGACTCGACTTGTCAGTGGGCCCGTGTGAAAGCAGCCGCAGCACAGACATGGCGTCCTACATACTTAGACCACCATCTCATTTGTACCCTTCAGCTCGCCTCATATACAGTACTGCCTAGCTGGTCCAGACTGGGCCGGGCCTAAAGGTGGAATACAGTAACCTAAAGTAATGTTGACCTGGGATTTAGCAGCATATTCAAAGAAGTGGTCAGGGAAGAGACGGGAAACAATATATTAAGTTATATCCAAATAATTGTCCAGGTTTGAAATGAGCTTAGGCCAGTATATTACATCTTATATGTGATGTAGGATAGGGCTGTGCAATTAGTCAAGTTTGTGTTTTTTGTTTTTAAAACTACAGTTGATTAAAGTCAGAATTATACACGATTCTGCCTTCCAAATCTTAGAGCAAAGCCAGTCGTCTAATCTATATAGGAAAGTGTCACAGCATATTATTATTAAACTAGATCAATACAAAAAATCTCTACAAGTTAATTTTGACTGTGTAGAAGTACTTGTTTGGAATAATTGTGATTTCAATTATGAGCAAAATAATTGTTGTTGTGATTTTTCCCTAATTGGTTCTTTCTATATCATACAGGATCAAATTGAATTGTTTCATTTTTGTTTGCCCACTTGTTTTTGGCTAAATTTGACATTATTAATTACATGTTGCATCTCATATTACTTCAGATTCCAACATTTTTATATCTGGAACAACAATGATAACTTTTTTGTTTTTTGGTTTGAATTGCAAGCAGCCCCGGGGGGTGGCAGAGGAGCAGCTGACGCCTGCCCAAAGCTTTCAGCGCACCAGGATCCTTCTGCTCTACATTCTGGCACCCTGCGCAACCTCTCTGTCCCCATCCGTCTACTCTGACCCCATAGTTGTGTCTCAGTCTGCTAGTCGCCCTGCCACCATGACCCCACTCTCCACTTTTATCCTCTGCTTTGGCATCTCCATGATAACAAAAACATTGCTATGGTTACCTCTTTACTTCAGATGGACCCAACTGAGTTTAAGTTTTGTAGAAATGAGTGCCATCACTGACCATTAGGGTATAACACATTCAATATTGTGTTCCAGTTTTTTTTTGTTTTTTTTTACCCACTGCCGGACTGTCTCATAAACAAGTTCTGACTTTTTACAGCAAATGGTGTACAGACGTCAGATTACACAAAAAATGTATTGTGTAAATGAACAAAAAAATCTATTTTGGGGTTTTGGAGCATCTTTTAATATTTGAGAGAAAATTATACAACACCGAGCATGGAAAAAAAAAACTCAACTATGACACTTATGTTTAATTAGCTTGGCAGCTTTGTAAGGCATATTACAGTCTTTCTAGTTAGAGCTATTTTGGATTATGGAGTTTTTCAGAGCTTGTTCATATATAATTATAGTTGACAAATCTAAATGAAAAAAGTTAGTTCTCCTCACACCTTGATGGGAGAAGACTGGTAGTAATAAGATAGATAAGCTTCCATATGGAAATAAAAAAAAATAGAGTAAAATAAAATAGTAGATTTGGGTGGTTAAGATATAGCAGATTAAGGCTTGCTGCACAATATGCACAATTACATTACTACTATATTTCCATTTCTTCTTCTGTCAGTCAGGGTTCATGTGCTTGCTCCCTCACTCTCTTTGTGCATTTGAGTTGCACATCAGAGGGATCAGGGCTGGCTTAGCTT